ATGGAGCTCGCTGTCAGTATCAACAACATTGAGTCTGTCCGCGTCCTGCTGTCTGCCGGCGTCTCACCCAACATCAAGAAGGATGGCATCTACACACCGTTGTGCACATCCATCCGCGACAACCGCGCAGACATATTTGAGCTCCTCCTCACCAGCGGTGCCGACCCTAACCTCAACTCCGCCGAGTACCCTGCGTTCAAGTGTGTCACGCACTTCCGCACACACTTCCTCCCTCGCCTGGTCGCCGCCGGCAACGACCTCCACAACCCCAAGGGCATCATCGAGATGGCCGTCCGGGTCAACAACATGGAGGCCCTCAACTGGCTCCTCGACCAGGGCGTCAGCCCCAACGACAAGGGCGATGACGGCAACACCCCTCTGACGACCGCCATCAAGGAAGGCCGCATGGAGATGCTCGACGAGCTGATCGCCCACGGCGCTGACCCCAACGTCCGCGGCAGCGACTGGCCCATCGTCATGTCCGTCAACTACCCCGAGGTTCTCGAGAAGCTCCTCCCCGCCGTCCCGGACATCCGCTCCTTCAAGGGTTTGATGGAGCGTGCCGTCGTCGCCAACCAGCTCGAGAGCGTCAAGCTCCTCCTCAAGGCCGGCGTGTCCGTCGAGGACAAGAACGGCGGCGTCTTCTCCCCGTTGACCTCTGCCATCCGCGAGGACAACAAGGAGATCACCAAGTTCCTCATCGAGGAGGGTGGCGCCGACATCAACGCGCCCGGTGAGCACTTGCCCATCGTCAAGGCGGTGCGCCGGTGCCGCGGCGACGACACAGACATCCTTGAGCTGCTGCTCCGTCACGGCGCCGACGTCAACAAGATCTACCGTGGATGGAACGCCATCTTCCAGGCCGTCGAGAATGGCGACGCCAAGGTCCTCAAGCTTCTCGTCGGGGCTGGCGGTGTCGATCTCGATGCCAAGGACGATGCTGGCCGCACCGTCATGGAGATCGCGGCCGGTCGCGGCTGGGAGGAGTCTGTCGGTATCATCCTCTGGGATGGCAAGAACAAGTCGTGATCCTCCTAACGCGTCTTGTCTTGAAGCTTTCTTTTCTTTCTGTCTCTCTCACGTGTAACTGACTCAACGCCGAGGAATGGCGCAACTTTTTACTTTCTTTTGTAATGTCCATGTACGAGATATGGAGGATGGGGTGGGTAACTGAAGTTTTCTCATGTAACATGGCGGGGCTTTATGATATCAGATTGATTTGTTCTTCTAAGGCGCCTCGATATCATCTGTCTTTCTTCACTTCTATACCTCCCTGTTTAGACTCTGGATCTTTCAATACCTGATCACCTAATTGAATCTCAATACCACTTCAACATGACCTTCACACATGGCACTCGTGAATAAGCCCCCTTACAGTAGTAACTTCACTTAGGCCTAAGAAACAACATGAATAGTCTTTATGGAAGCCCCACCTTTACTGAATTCCTTGCCTGCTTGATTCTCATTCATCTCTAAGCGGATCTTGCCCTCTATCACCCACCCATCATCGAAACGCTGCAAAAGGTCGCCTACTAGAGTAGAACAGCAAAAGAAATGCCTCGTGGCGGAATCGAACCGCCGATCTTCTCATGTCACTAGTACTAGTGAGACGCTATACCACTTAGCCAACAAGGCTGATGACGCTGTATGGCTTGTATGCTTACTGACGGGTCGAGAGATTGCAGGTTCATTTCTCGAGATTGCTTGCGCTGTGGGCTGGAGATGGGTAGGGCCGCGGGGCGGGTGCTTCTGTCCCACCAACCCACTTAGTTCACGATGGAGACATCTGAGGGGCAAGGATCCGACGTATGGTCGGCCACAACTTCTTGGCCCTAAAGCATGAGCTGCGTGCCTCAGCTGGAAATGGTTCACAAGACACGACTGGAACTTGATGCAGGCGAGCTAAGAATCGTCCATACTCCATACGTATAAACTTTCGTGTATTATTCTATCCAAGGTAGTGAAAAGGGATGTATGCCTATTCAATGTTTCGAGAGAAGGAAGGCCGTGTACGTGATGGTGGGCTGTTCTAAGATTGATAAAGGAATTTTGCTTCGCTGCCGTGATCTCATCCCGCGAAAGTTGGTACTCCTCTGGTATAAGTCGGACCTAGCCCATTTACCCAACGTCAACACAAGTGTCTAGAACTTCGACTTCAAGAGATGAAGCTTACTACTTACCCACAACTCTTTCTTGATTGATTCCAACAAGTATCAAAACCAGGCCGCTGCTTAAGCCCTAGAGGCAGCAGCTTTGGGAAGTTGACATTTTTGGCATGTCGTAGCAGTCGATGGCGGCGAGGTTGCAGGACACTGGCACATTTTGGAGGGATCCGAGAGTGCAGTGATGACCGAAACTGGAACGATGGGACCAGGCATAGTGGTTGTCGAGTATTCGTGAGCGGTGGTTGGATCTGGAAAGAGATTTATAGAATCAAGAATGATTTGTCTGAAGGTCTTGGTATTGAGGTGAAGGTGTGCTGCTTGATGCTGTCGAGATCTAACTTCAAGAGCTACTGTCATCGTATTTATACCGAATTGTAGACAGTCACCAGCTCTCGTCGCTTCCTAAGGTTGAGGTCTACGATATGACTAGTCACCAAATCACATTCTGACCGAGATGACAAGCATAACTTGAAAGAGTGCCAACGACATGAGACTTCGCTTTTGGGAAATAATCAAAAGCAACAGGGGTCATCAGCCCTACAGGGCAGCGGGCTTACAGCTTGCTACACCGAGACACGATGTATCCGTAGCCTCGGTTGGATGAATCCTTCTCATATGGGCTGCTGCCGCTAGTAAAGGCAGTCATCGAGGCGAGTCGTACAGCCTGATTCACGTAATTGGTCAACAAAGTCCTAAATAATGGGAAGTTGCTTATTGTCATTGGTCAAAGGGCAGAGAAACTGACTGGCAGAAGACGAGATAGGTTGGCTTTGAATGTCAAGCTTCCAGTCGGGCCGTCTGCACGAGGTCGGTCGCCGAGGCTAGCCTCTGGCTGGGTACGTTGTCAAATGAAAAGATTTCGTTTTGCGTGTTGAAAAGGGATGAAAATATCCATCAATAACGAATCATAGACACAAGCAAGCAATTCGGCACAAAGACCGCGCCGCAAAAGTGGATGCTTCTCATTCTTGAATGTTAGTTCAGCTTGAGATGTTTCTTCTACAAACGTCTATTCGACGATGCACCCTGTCCTGTGGCAAAAGTTGAATTGCTAAGCTCACGAAGATATACTCTTGAGTGTCGATTGCCGTTTTGGGCAAATCTACGTTGAGCCGCAGGCTGGGGGCACTACTTACTTTGGAGGGCCAAGAGAAAAGAGACCAGTTTCCCGAATAGGAAATTGTACGTCGCGGAGGCGCGACATGGCCAATTGCGCATTTTGATTCGTTTCCGAAGAGAAAAGCATCCCTTGAGGACTCGAGAGGCTGATTTAAGCGTCTTACTCATTATCCACGGAGCCGGGCGTGGGGGCGAAAACAACTCAGTCTGACAGATTACAGGGCCAGGCACCCAGTGTATTCTGTCGTGCCATAGGGTTGCCTTTGCTGACACACATAGGGCTGAGCTGAGATTCATCACGAGGCAGAATGCACTGCAAAGATCGATCATGCACGATGAATTTCCTGAACGGGAAATAGAGATGCTGGCTATGCCGGGGCCGTTGATGAAGCCCTCGAAAAGCAGGACTCGGCCGAACGAGAGGGTGGGGAAAAGTGGGAGACTAGAGAGGGTGTATCTCTGAAGACACTTTTGTTGGTTCAACATGCCATCTACGTTACGCAAGGCCGCCCGAGTCCCAGTTTCCTCTGCTGCACTAGGGAGCTGTAAAATGCAGCAATGACCCACCATTCTAGATTCATCCCGTTGCGAGATAACAGGCTCGTGGAAGTATGGAAGCCTCGAGTCTCGGACTTTGGAAGCCACCTCCACACGCCATCGAGCCTGCAGAAGACCCAGCACGGAGGACTGAGACATTCCTGCGAAGACCTTTTCCCTTTCGTATTCCGGCCATTCAAGATTGACTGTTCACTTCAATTCACTCATCAGAGGTGTTCCCATGTGGTAGAGTTGCGTACATGCCGCACGTAAGGTAGGTGAGTCGGTAAGAGAGCCCCCATTCAAGACAGCCGACTCCAATCTCGGTCACAGCATCGCAGCAGTTAGAATCGCGTTAATTCTCACATAAATCAATGTTTCGCATATGGCTATGTGTGCTACAAGATTTGGTGTCCTCATGACAGCAATCTGGCCAACGTCTGAGGCCTTCCCGGGGACGCTCGCGTCGCCTTACTGTCTCACCCACGCGTCTCCGTGAAACCAACCCCCAACACTGGTGGTTGCGGCAGTCAGACGTCCAGAAAATTAGCACCTATGACTGATTCTGTAGGTTTCTCGAGAAACGACTCGAAGTGAATTCCCCCCAGCTACCACCGCCAAGTTCCCATCTGATATCTTGCCCTGTCAGGCGAGACCGTGATATGAGAAGTGCGTGCATCATACCCCCGCGCTACCATGCAATTCAGGGACTCAGCCGACTCTTGGGTTCCTACAGACAACAGGCGAGAGGCATTTCGCATTTGCGGCAGGCACGAAGCCCTGGATGGAGAAATTACAAGAGGCGTGTTGTGGAGTCACCAGCTCTCTACCATAGTTAGTATGACTAGTCGCTGTACCGGATATCAGCACATCCCCGATAGTCTAGTGGTGAGGATATCTGCTTGTCATCGGGGAAATCCCACGATTCGCAGGGGACCGGGGTTCAATTCCCCGTCGAGGAGTCTTTCTTTTTCTCTTTTTGGCATGTCGGCCTTTCCGCCTTTCCTTGCTATCCTACAAGTTTCCCATCGTTCGCGGAATCGTCAATCCGCGCGCCTGACACCGACAAACGGTCGCCATATGTAGATGTTGTTCGCGAGTCAACTACGTTTGCCTATAAGCGGAATGAGAGCGGGTACTTGACATGATTGTGCGCAAAGAGGCCGTCCATGCGCACTTTTACTTGCCAGCGGCTCCCCATTTGTATGTTGACACAACACCACCATCCACAAGGATATCAGTCCCCGTAATGAAGGACGACTCCGGACTAGCTAAGAACGCTACGGCGTTGACAATATCCTGAGGTGTTCCCACTCGACCAGCCGGGCTTGTGGCAACAAACTTTGCCGCTGGACCGCCCTGTTCCATCTCTATACGACCTACCGCCGTCGAAATGACGCCCGGACTGATCGAGTTCACCCTCGCGCGCTTCTGGCCCCAGGTCGCGGCGGCGGCCTGCACGCGTACGAGGTTCCCGCGCTTGGATATGCCGTACGCACGAGGGGCCGAAGACGGGTCCGCGGGGTCGACTACGAGAGCGGGATGATCCAGGAGCTGGTCGACGGGCGCCATGGCGAGATGTCGCTCTAGCTCGGCGGGGAGACCAGAGCCCATGTGGCCTGCCATGCTCGAAATGCAGATCAGGCTGGTGCCGGCCTGCGCAACGGGGAAGAAGGCGTCTATCACGTTGGCGGTGCCGATGAGGTTGACGGCGTAGATTCGCTGGGCGGTGTTGGCTGTAGGGGGCAAGCCCGCGGTATGCACGATGGTGTGCAAGGGCCCTGCCGCTGCGGCTGCGTTGACGAAGTCGTTGACGGATGCGGATTCGGAAACGTTTACCGGCATCGTCTGCACCGAGTATCCATCGTCTGTGAGTTCTCTCTGAGCAGCTGCGAGAGTTGCGTCCGAGAAGTCGCCAAGAAAGAGGTGGTGGCCTGTACCCAAACGACGGGCGATGGCGAGGCCCATTCCGCCACAACCAACGATCACCACGACTCGCGAATTCATAGCGGCGGTTTTCGGAGAGTGAGATATTTGGTTCGGAAGATAAGGTTACATGGAGATAGCTGATGGGCGACTTCCATAAGATCGTGGACGAAAAGCAGAACAATCAATTAGACAATTTGTCGCGGTGGGTGAATTCTTCCCCCCAGGTGTTTTATACGCATTTCGCTGCCGTTTCTCGTTTTCAGTAAGAGAATGCGAGACCGAACTCGAGCTGATACCTAGTGGAACTCACCCTGGTCATCCCACTAAACCCCTTGTTTCTAAGTGTTGTGGAAGAGGATGTGTCAAATTGTGCGTCTAATACGGAGTATCCGTAGTGTACAGCTCAGAGTGATGGGATGCATTGCATCAATTGAGTAGGTAGGTACATAACATACTTCGGGGACCAACAATGTGCGCCAGGCGTCCAGCTGCATCTTCGTCCGTTCTCCAACTTCAAGCCCAGAACCTGGGCTGGGAATCTTAATCCCCCGCCTTTGCAACAAGACGCGATAGTCCTCTATTCGATTGTATAGAACAAACGGTCAGATCCTTCGTCCGTATCAGGAAGGTACAGTCTTACGCACTGATCGCTACAATCAGGGATGCTTCCATCACCCATCGCCGACTCCGCACCGGCAAACTGCTCCGATGCGCTTATCAGCCACGGCAATGTCGTCCGCCACATCTTCATCTCTCATCATTGAATTGTCACCGAAGCATTGAGAACTCTAGAACCTCCAGCCAGTCTTCGCCTCTCCATTGTGTCTCTGCTCACCCCCGTTTCAGCTGCTGCCAGAAAATGACACTCCGCAAAGCTCCCGCCCTCGCCGGCCCCGCCATGGAGCTTCCCCGGCGCACTTCGCCGCGGCAGTGGGCGGCAGACGCCGAGGGTGCGATCCCGGAGAAGCTCATCAAGCCATGGAAGCTGCCTCCGCAGAACACCTACCTCTTTATCAACGCAAACGTCGTGGATGCCGCCAAAGGCCTCGTCATTAAAAACACGACCGTCAAGATCTCAAACGGCTTGATTGAGAACGTTGGAGGGAGCCCAGCTGACAGCACAGGCAACGATGCCATTGTGGTAGATTTGCAGGGAAAATACCTCTCCCCGGGTCTCATCGACTGCCACGTCCACGTCAGCTCCGTGCCCGGCGAGGCCGGCCTCAACGGCGGCTTCGACATGGACGCCACCGTCTCTTATCTGCGGCAGTCTTTCGTCTGCGGTCGCATCCTGAGCAAGGGCTTCACCACGGTCCGCGACACGGGCGGCGCAACTCTCGCGCTCAAGGAGGCAATCCAGGACGGCGTCTTCCCCGGGCCTCGCCTGTTCATCGCCAACCAGGCTCTCTCGCAGACGGGAGGCCACGGCGATCGCAGAGGTGCCCACGATCACTCGGGGCTGTGCTGCGGCGGCACGGCGGGACTCTCCAACGTCGTAGACGGCGTGCCGGAGTGTATCAGGGCGACGAGAGAGCAGCTCAGGACGGGGGCGGACTTTATCAAGATCATGGTAGGCGGCGGCGTGGCGTCACCGACGGACAGGATCGAGAACACGCAGTTTACGGCGGATGAGATCAAGGCCATTAGCGAGGTCGCGCGGAGCTACGGTACCTGGGTTACGGCGCACGCATATACCCCGCGGGCGATCCGCCACGCGGTCGAGAATGGCGTGACGGGCATCGAGCACGGCAACTTCATCGACAAGGAGACGGCGGAATTCATGGCTGAGAACGCCGTGTGGCTGACGCCTACGCTGGTCACGTACGACGCCATGGGCTCCGACAAGTACAAGGGATTCTTGCCCCCTGAGAACCAGCGCAAGAACCAGGAGGTCTTGAGAAGAGGTCTCGAGTCGTTGAAAATTGCCGCCGCAGCGGGCGTGACCATCTGTCATGGATCGGATCTGCTCGGCCCCCTACAGGCTGAGCAGAGCAGGGAGTTTGGGATCCGGCAGCAGGCTCTCAGCAATAAGCAGGTGCTTCAATCCGCCACGGTTAACGCCGCCAGGATGCTTCGACAGGAGGATGTGCTGGGGCAGGTGAAGGAGAAGTTCGTGGCGGACTTGCTAATTCTCAACGGGAACCCGCTGGACGACGTCTCAATACTGGATGAGCCGGAGAAGAACGTCTTGGCGGTGATCAAGGATGGCAGGGTCTACACGAGCCGATGGAGCAAACTTCCAGAAGACGTCAAGGAGCCACCGCGACTGATTGAATGAGCGCATGCAGCAAGCTTTATCAGGCAAAACCGAACATCGAGGCTTGGATGATCTACAATGTTCATATACTAATCTATATCTGGAACACTACTGCTTCTGCTATACGTGACCTTGCTGGGCATAGTTGGTGCTGAATCACTCTGCTCGGCCTCCCGAAGGTGCTGCTGCGACAAATTGTCCACGAGGACGAATCCGTCACTTTGGCGTTCGCTCCGCCGATTTGAGAGACCATCGGACTTGCCATTCGAGCTGTAGTAGTTTGCCGTACCCTTGGTTGAGTACGAGGAACGGCCCAGCAGAGGTCGGAGGAAGGGGATACACGCGAGGGTGATGCCGACGCCGGGCTCCAACGCGCTGAAGATGAGAGCGTTGGGGATGTTGAAGGTCACGTCGAGGTACACGAGGTTGGCAAGGTAGTAGAGGCGCAGAGCCGATACGATGCACGTACTATATTGGCAACATGGTCAGTATATCATCTTCTTCAGATTCGGGAGGCTTGGCTTACAAGACTCCGAGCGAGAAGGTGACGATCAGGGCGACCTTCTTGTACATCTCCAGCCGAAGACTCCACAAGTGAGAAATCGGCATGACGAGGACGATGATGTCGGTGATCATGTTCAACACCCCCATCGTGCCATCCGCTGCAGGCTGGTTCCCGCAGTGTCGGTTCTTGAGATCGAGGAGCCAGTTGTCCGAGAGGGGGATGCAGATGAAGAAGGCGATCAGCACCGTGACCATGACCCACATCATGGTGAAGGCGGCCAGTATCCGCGCCGACAAGATCATGAACCTGGTGCTGAAGAGCTTGGAGTAGAGGAGAAGAATGGAGATCTTGCAGAGGCTGAGGCTGATGGCCCACAGGATCTGTTGCGCGACGAGGACCTAGAGGGAGATGCGTCAACAACTACATCGGGGTTCTTCGACGCGAGAGTTGGCACGAACCTTGAGAAACTTGACGATTGGCCCGACCCCATACTTGGGTATGATGACGGCATTGTGAAGGCCAACACCGCATTGCATTACAGCGACTATGGAAATTGCTTGCAAGGCATTGGAGAAGACCTGTCAGAGAAAAGTGAGTTGTGGTCCTCATCTCATCGCGCCGGAAGATAACTCCATTGCTGGCGTGATGAACAACGTACGAGTCCAGCAATTATAGACCAATCACTCAAATCCATATCTCTATGCGCCATGCGCCTGGCGATGAGGCGGAGGATCACCATCAACGTCGGAATGATGATGAAGACGATAGACACCGCAACCACAGAGATCTGGCCCGGTTCCTCCAGCGGGAATATCACCAACTTGTCTCCCATCGTCGGCGTCTTTGGTGGTGATGCCGCCATATTGTCGTCCCGTGAGGTTGCGATGGGGAGGAGACCTTGACCTTGTCGTCCACACTACGAGTGGATTATGCGGGAAGCGGAGGTGGGACGAACATTCAAAGGTCCAAGCATCCAATCCATGAGAGCAAGATGCTTCATTTTTGAACCCCTCGAGGTCTGTCCCTCCACCCCAGTTCCCAACGGCCCGACGACTGGAACCCAGAACCCAGACCACAGACCTTTTTCTGCTCGTTTCTTTTTGGGGCGGGCCACATCAGGTCACCCAATAGCCCCCCAAGTGGTGGTTTTGTTTGCTTTTTCCTTTCCCACTGTGGGCACCAGAATGGCAAGCTGCATACCTTATCGACCGCAGTGCAGACGCTGTGCAGTTGTGACAGGGGGTCTGGACAGCCCACAGTACCTAGAAGAGGAAAGGATAGAAATACTGGTGCGGCCACCTCTGCTGCCACGCGATCAGAGGTCGAGGGTAACAGCAGAAATGCCCAGACTTTTTCTTCCACTTCGTGAGAAACAGGCACTGCCAAGGACAGTAGGCTAACAAATGGGCTGGAGGTGTGATGACTGCGTTGCGTCGTGCTTTAGTGGTATGAAAAAGTGGATGCCTACAATCGAAATGACGCAAATGGGCAATGATTGAATTGTGAATATGATAGAAACCATGGGGGAAAACCTGACCTCTGCGCTTTTGCTCGCGATTCATCGGCAACGGCAGATGCTCTCAATGAATACCTCGTTTGGGATGTAGGGCATGGAAGCGTTTCCGATGACTTGTCTGAATTCGAAAATTATCTTCAGGACAATGCCCTCATCTCATGGAACTGGCCATGGCTCCTGCAAAGTCCAAGGATCCTCGTGTCAGCCTGCCTAAAGAAGCCTGTTGTGTTACGGTAATCCGAGATCTCTACCCCGGTGCCTCAAGAGCACAGATACAGATCGCGGTCATTTCTACACGTACCGGGTTCGCGAGGAGATCCAGGCCGATTCCATCATAAAGGCATGGGTCGACGAACGAACCAGACGTGGCGTCGGGCGGAAGCAACCCCCCCTCGACGGCAGATGGCCAGCCCTTTGACCACCACTGTTTAACTCCATCGTTTTGCATTACTAGAGGATTGCCGCAGTACATGTAGACGCTACCCTACCCTCGAATTCCACACTATTTAACCTTAACCCTTTTCTCTCCTATCCTTTCCTCTATTCTACCCTCTCCCTTATTAAAGGATCGCTAAAATCGTAGTTTTAATAGCTTATTAGTAAGCTAATATTACTATTTAGAGGTAAGTAACCTACTCTTATATATAGGTACTAAGAGTTTTATTATTATAGAAATAGTAGTAGATATATTAAAGTATTTAAAAGAGCTTTTTAATAAATTTTTAATACTATTTAAAGTAATTATTTTTAAACTATAAGAAGAAGCTAAGGCGCTATATTAATACGGCCCTATTCGTCTCGTTAGTATTAATAATACCTTTCTTAGTATAAAATATATTAGTAATACTTTATAACTACGTTATTATACTTCATAAATCGTACTTAATAATAGTAAGGATTTTAGTATTTTTTTTTAGATCTTTTATTAAAGTTATTATTATAAAGTTAGTTTAGTTATTAGTATTTTAATAAGCATTTTAACTTAACTTAAAAACTCTTATAGCTCTTAATAAGAAGCTTTTAAAGAACTTATAACTAGACTTTTTACTTATTATAAGTAAAGCTATTATAATTAAAGCTATAATAATTAAAGCTATAGTACTACTTACGGACTTTAATAATAAGTAATTAGTAATATAGTTATCTTTTTTTTATAATAAGCTTAAAAAAGTATTTTAATTTAAGTACTAAGTAGGTACTATACTATTTTATTAAAACTGTATTCTTATACTTGTGACTTAAAAAGAATTAACTTTCTTCGATAACAAGGTACTTAGCCCTTTGACCACGGACGCAGGGAAGAAAGAGACATGGATCCCCTCTCGCTAACCGAGAATCCTTCTTTTCTTTTTTCCTCCTTCGCTGCCTTTGATCACACATACTTTCCCCATTTTCCCGTTCCTGCATGGGGGGCTTTTGGTGGTTTCCACACCAATCACAAACGCAGCTTTTCCATCTTCGCTTCAGACTGTGCATATCTAGTTTGCTCTAGGTCGATGCTGTCATCAGCCCGTCCTTGCCCGTTTGATAAAAGATGGCTTTTTCGAGGTTACCTCCCACCTGCTTACCCCGACCTAGCTGACTCTTCTTGGCCGGCCCCTCTTCGCGAAAATCTCGTTACGACTTCAACAACGTGGGATACGGGTGGGAACGCGTGGAATAGCTTCCCTCTACTGCACGACACCATCCATCGACAGTTTGACACCCTTGTCCCCCGTTGAACCGCGTGTGGCACACCACCATCATCTGTCCGAAAAGGGCTCGTCGTCCGAGAGCCACCGTGCCATCTGGCCACCCAGCCAACTCAATTCTGACGTCTCACTCGGGAGGCATGTCTGGCATTCTTAGGGTCTCACTACGGAAGCGGGAGCAGCAGCATTAGCTCCTACGAGAAAGAGATTTCTCCCCCTCCCCCCTCCCTTACCGTCACAAGCCACTGCCCATCAGTTAAACCTTTTCAGAAGCGCGCGGCATGACGGCTAAGCTAGGAAATGCGAGGACGGGACGGGAGGCAGAAGCCGGCAGCCGCCTCAAGTCCGTTATCAAGGGAAGAGATATGAGGGAGTATTATTGCGGCTATGACAAGCTTTTGCTTTCGAAATGCCCAACCTGTCATTGTGCATTCGCTGAGAAACATTTCCGGCTTCCCCGTCATGCCGCGGTGAAGGTGTTAGTCATGTGGCTGGGTGGTACGCCGCGCAACCATCAGGACGCGCTTGATCGTCCGCTTCAGTCTTTCCAGTTGACAGGCACGGTAAGTTGAAAACACTTTATGACTTTCACATTATCAATTCTGGAAAACTTTCAATAATAAGGCCTGGGCGATTGTAGTATGATCACTCCACTAACTAGTCGAGCATCACTCGATTCACCGCAAAGAGACCAAGCTCAAGCGCGGCACTTATGATAACCTCGCTGAGTGAAATGTCGCCGAAACGATTCTACTTCGTGCTGGGACCATTCGCCATGGGAAAGAAACTCGGTGTGACATATGCGGCTCAAGATGAAAGGGCTGGAAGGGCCGTGAGTCTCGGGTAGAAAATATGATCAATCATGGACAAACGAGTCAGCGGCTTGCCCTGGCTCAAACGACGAGATCCAATCGGAAGATGCCTCTCGACGCCTCAAAGAGCTAGCACGGTGCCTGGCAGATGTTGTCAAAGTCTCAGTTTTGTGAAACCATAGCTTTGGATAGGTTGCATAAGCTGCTCTGTCCTGCAGTAGTCAGTGCAGCTAAGCTCAAGTCTATGGAACTCCAAACGTAAACGAGCAAGCAAAAGCCTCATCGTGACTAAGTGAGTGGTGATCGAAATTGATGAGAGTGAACAGTTTTCAAGCTGCATCACCTGAAAGACGAAAGCGATGGAACGACGGTATGACTGGAGTGGGAAAGACGATTTCCACATTTGATGCTTCAGCCACGCAGCTCTACAACGCAAGGGGGTTTTACTTCGATATTCTGACGGAGACCAATGGAATTGGAGCCAACGTTCGTTCGAATGACTTGATTAGAGCGATAATTGACAAAGGTAAGCTTGAAGGTATTTGGCAGCTTTGTCTTCCGCGTGGAAACCTAACGCGGAGTTTGGAAGAATCTAACTATATGATCAATGATGCAGGCCAGCTTATATTAATCAAGGCTTGTTACATAAAGTTCAACTGTTCCAAGTATAGGCCAAGCGGGAGTTGATGCTAACGGGATGGAGATTGTATCAGCCAACTCATATCTACTAGATGCAATGCTCCTCGCTTTCACACCGTCTTGGAGTAGAAAAAGTGGACACGTAATCACTGATTAGGTTCGCATGGCTCTGAACCCTCCGTAACCTGTGACAATGTGCCTCTTCCGCTATTTCTTCATGTTCTTCTCGACTTGCTCGTATGATTCGCTAATCACCGGTTTCAGTAACTGGGGGAGGACAACTGCTGCATCTCCTACAAACACCCAGTCCTTATCCGGCCGAACATGTCTCGCGTCTTCAGCTCGCGTGTTGATAACAGCAACTCTCGCACCCTTCTTGCGAGCCATCTCGGCATACCCAGCCGCCGGCCAGACCTTGCTGGTGGTTCCAATCGTAAGAAACAAATCGATGGCCTCGGGGTCATCGAAAAGCGCCTGGGCCTCTTCAACAACCTCAACGGGCAATGGCTCGCCAAACCAGACGACGGCGGGACGGAGGATGTTGTTCTTGCACTTATGGCATTGCGGTAGGTCCTTTTTCTCCAACCCCGATGACAGCCGGATAGCAGCAACGGGGTCCGATGGCGCCGGTTGATCCGGGGCTTTCAGAGCAGTCAGATCTCGCGTGGTCGGAGAATTGCCCTCATACTTCTCCCCGAGGATTTGCGCGTGTTTCCGCGCGATGCCGGCTAAAAGTACTGGGCTGGCGCGAGGCTTCTTGTCCGGATTTATGCTGCCGATGGTCCTCTCCTCGTCCTTTGAAGGATCGAGTGCTGGTGACAGAGACTCCTCAAAGTTGTCACGCTCGGTGTGTCCGCATCCAACCACGTCGACGCAGGACAGCGCAAAAAGATTGCCGTGGAGCTCCTTCAGCTGACTGGGCGAATGACCAGCCCGACGGCTCAAGTTATCGACATTTTGCGTCAACGCGACGAAGCCAGGCACTCTGCGCGCGAGCTCAGCCAGAGCATAGTGAGCGGGGTTCGGCTTGGCACGAAGGGCGTCGTGCCTGCGATACGTGTAAAATTGCCAGACGAGACCCGGGTCATGACGGAAGCCTGCGGGTGAAGCGACCTGTGTTATGTCCTGGTTCCTCCACAGACCATTGGCCCCTCGGAAGGTGGCAAGGCCTGAGGATACGGAAAGACCTGCGCCGATGAGAGCAACGATGCGCTTTGACTTCTTGAGTGTGTCGTGGAAGTCAGCGACCGCGATAGGGTCTAGGTCGGGCTGAGTTGTAGTTAAGTCAGCCATCGAATCTTGGCGTAGAGATGATACAGGTGTGGTCGGGTTGTAGTATGATAGCTCGTTGTTTCGAAAAGTCAACAGAAAGATTGGCTTCTTCAAATATCTCTCCGAGTTTGCGTTGGTTACCTAAAGAAAATGCGGCAAGGCAATATAATCTGACACGTCTTCTTGGACCCCAAAACCAATACGGCGAAGCAACCAACAAAGAAACAACAAGTAACTTCAGTCCAATTTCGGAAATTTCCATGGCCGTTAGACAGAACATTCAAGGGGCCATGAACCAACACTGAACTGATGTGAGCTTGGTGCGTCTCAAGATGCAAGGGGCCGCTGCCTGAGCAACATAATTTTGGCGAAAATGTCGAGACTCTATTGGTTGATGACAGTCATCGTAAGCTGCTTCAAACACCCAAAATCAACGACGGATTCTATGACGCCGGGCTTGATTCTCGAGCCAGTTCTACTGCCTTTTGCGCTGCTTTCCCAAAATCTGCTTCGGTATGCAATCCAAGATTGGCTTCTTCCAGCTGTGTGTTCCAGTCAGCACACTCAATGTCAAGATAGCATTTGACCGGTATGGGAACATCTTACGATTTTCAATCCCATCTCAGAATTGGTGCCTTGAAGTCGAACCACCATGGGAATCTTCAGCGGTCCCAGCTCTTTGGCTGCACCAAGAATGGATTCTGCGATCATGTCGCCTCTAGTGATTCCTGCCAAAAGTTTATTAGCCCGAGAAGTGGACGTCAAGCTTCCTTCATTAGCTGTTTGGCGAACTTACCACCATAGATGTTGACAAATATTGTCTTCACCCTCCGGTCCCGCAGGATAATCTCAAATGCCTTGACCATGGTCTCCTTCGTCGCTTGCCCACCAGCATCAAGAAAGTTGGCACTGGCGCCACCGTGCAGGGCAATCGCATCGTTGGTCGCCATCGCGAGACCTGCTCCATTGACCACATTGCCAATGTCGCCGTCCATGCGAACATAGACCAGCCCATACTTCTCAGCCTCGACTTCTTCTGGAATCTCGTGCTCCGTGTCTCGCTCTGCAAAAAGTGGCTTCTGCCGCTTGGCCGCAGCATCATCAAATGAGAACTTGGCGTCCATGCAAGTCAGACCTCCTTCTGACGAGCTTGCTAGAGTCTTGATCTCAAGCGAATAGGCGTCCTTTGTTGTGAAAATCTTATAAAGTCTGCCGAGTATGTCATTGAGGTCTTCCTTCTCTTTCGCCGAAGCTCCGAGACAGTTCGAGACTTTGTCGGTGAGTTTGGATGTGATGCCATCCGTGAATCCAAATCGAAATGTATGCAGCTCGTCTGGATGCTGGGCTGCTATCTTTTCGATGGCGACTCCGCCAAATTTTGACGCGATGATTATTGGACAATAGTTCTCGCGATCGAATGTGATCGCCAAGTACCACTTTCTTTCGGGATTCAGGCTTTCCGTAACATGAAGCTTATTGACCAATACACCGTTACCTACGGATTGATCCGTCTTCAAGTAGTGACCAAGCATGCGATTGGCAGCTTTCTCGGCGCTTTTTGCATTATTGACCAGTTGAATGCCGGCCCCTGACCCGTTGTCAAACGCGCCGTCATCGATGCCGCCCCTTAATATCTGTGATTTGAGAGAACAGTTTCCGCCTAAGTGTGTCAGTACATCTTAAATCGGCAGTCTAGAAGAAGACATGATTACCAAGCTCTGTGGCAATCACCGCAGCTTCGGCTGGTGTTCTTGCGAGGTGTCCTCGGGGTACTGGGATGCCGAACTGATCGAAAAGCATCAGCGACCCTTCCCATCCTAGTCTCTTGTCGCTACAAAAGAGGAAGCCTTACCTCCTTCAAAAGGTTCTGCGACTGATATTCATGTAGCGTGAGCTGTCGAAGTTGTTGCTTCGATACCAACTAAGGAGAAATCAGCGATCTGTGTTATTATTATGCGTGAAGGCGGAGTACCTACATTTGCATTGAGACGCCACAACTTTGCTGTCAGAGTCCGAGTTGCCATGGTATCATGAAAATGCACATGGATGCATCAAGTTCGATATTGAAAGATCATTCACTCAGTTCTGAACTGATCAAGACGGTAGGTAGATGACAACAATTGACTGCTGATATGGGAGGTATGGCCGGCGGCAATCAGGTACGTCATCCAGACAAAGGCAAGCTAGCGATGCTGTGGCTGGCTCTAAGCGAGCAAATAGCCGAAGGTTGAGTGCTGCCGGTTATATCGGCTATATCCCCTTCGCTAATACTACGGATAGGTGAAGCCGATATCCACGCCGATAGTTCATTGCAACTGAACACCTGCAAACCCCAATTCAGACGGCGATGAAAATCTTGCTTACATCACACAAATTGTTCCAACTACCTACTGCACTTAGATCTGTACGCACCGTGCAGCAATAGCATGGTCTCAAATTGATTGTGACTTGAACATTTTCAACGGGACTCACGGGTTAAGATTTGGTCTCTTCGTGATCTCCCTTGCAAGGATGCTGGTTCGGGCCAATCAACCTCCATGATAGTAGCTATGACTGTGGACATAGCGACATAGGTAGTTGGGCGCGGTAAACGCGCTGTGTTGACTTTCCAGCCCCCTCTTTTCAACTAGGCAGTTGGGCAGATTTTGACCAGGCAGACTGTCACCTTTTTTTCTGCCTCCGACAAGTCATCAGGATCATGCCGAGTGCCCTCAGTCGACAAGATCAGTACCACATCATCTGAACCTTTTTGAGCGTCTAGAGTCCAAAGTAAAATTGCATGACGCGGATGGTGTCCTATCACAAAGTCACGGACGATGAGCCACCACCAGGTGTGACTGGATGGGATCTCTTGTGTGCTTGTAAGAAACGGCGTGGATGGCATAGAAAGCTTACATACGCACAGATCCGGCATGCTGCCATGAACTTGTGCGGCCTCTGCGGCGTGTACAAAACTGTGGTTGAGGCGGTTATTGATGGGCGTCTTCCGGCATTATTTCAGGGAGCACGGAACGAGGGTGAACGAGATCAGATTCTTGACGAACTTGTCGTAGGAAGCATTGGCCTTACAACAGCCAATACGGAGGAGAGCATGGATTTGCTCATCAAAGGAGTCTATGTCTGAGTCTCTCTCTTTATAGACCCCGAAGAACAATCCGTTTTCAGAGTCTCAAGTAATGGGGATGAGGAGGTTGGCTTTCCCAGAGAGACGCAGTTTGGACCGTCAACAGACTCTGATAGGAGCTTTGCGAGGGCGCAACAATGGCTTCGGCAATGTGTGGACCACCATGATTGCGGGAAGGCTCGTGGCTCATTCTATCCACGCAGGCTTCTTGATCTTCGGGGTGACCAAGTTCGACTCGTTGAGACTGTCAAGGCCAGTGATTTTCAGGGGCCATACGTCTGCCTAAGCCACCGTTGGGGCGACGCAAAGTTCTCACGGTTGACAAGCACGACTGAAAACCTACATATGCACATGGAAGGAATCGAATGGGGCGATATTCCAAAGACATTCCGAGATGCCATTGTCATCTGTCGACGTTTAAGTGTGGAGTACCTGTGGATCGATACGTTGTGTATCTTGCAAGACTTCCCCGAAATGTCGGACGAGCAAAAGCGAATAACGGGTGCGGATTTCGCAGCTGAGAACTCGGCCATGGCCCGCATCTATCGGAACTCCTACTTCACCATCTATGCAAGCGTCTCAACAAGTATGGCCAGTGGCATTTTCTCATCCAGGCGTTACGGGAGTCATCAAATCAAGATCGGTGACGCTAATGGCAAAGAGTCGATCCTGCGCATCAGAGAAAGAACGTCACACTTCACACCACCCACAGATCTGGAGACTAGAGGCTGGACATTCCAGGAGTATCTGCTACCTTGCCGAGTTCTAGAATTCGGGCCTTTTGATATCTCTTGGAAGTGCAACCAAATCTATATCTGCGAATGTCTGCACAATACGGGGGCGGCTCACTGGCGCAAGGAGCTAGCTCGACGTACATTGCCGCCTCAGAATGCTGCAGAGGCTGAGGAGTGGTGGGCAGGCATACTTCGGCAGTACACGATGAGGCGCCTGGCAAAGGATGAGGATAAATTACCTGCTCTCTCCGGGCTTGCACAGCTCTATCACCAACTGACGCGCGATACTTACCTGGCGGGCTTATGGCAAGCGTCTCTTCCTCAATGCCTGTTGTGGTTCAACACTGCAAAAGCTGGCACGTATCCGATGAATCTTGGTATAGGTCAAAGAGCTCCAATAGCCCGTGCTCCCTCCTGGTCCTGGGCTTCGCTTGATATCGTTAACGACGCCCAGTGCCGCTTCTGGTGGCCACGAGTATCGCTTTCTACAAATCCTATCATGTACGGAGACGGCGCTTCACTGCGGCCGGTATGCACCGTATACGAAGCTCTTTGTCAGCCGATAACGGATGATTCGTTTGGTAAGGTGATGGGGGGCTTCGTCGACCTCGGTGTAATGCTCATTTCGGCGAGGGTCGGCACCAAGCCTCAAGGGAATGACTGCTTTAGCACGGCTGGTGATGTGGCTTGGACACTGGATTATGTCGAAGACGGCACAGATGTTCACGTATGTCTAGCTGACTGCAGCTTGGATGATGACAGTCTGCAAATTGGAGACGAAGTGTTTTGCGCGCCAATCGTGGAAACACTTTCGGAATCAGAATCAGACAGAGGCTGTTTGGTGCTCAAGCGCATGCTAGAAGGATCGGATTTCAGACGCATAGGCTTTGCCGTCTTGCGCAAGCCGAACCCAAGCTGGGATCGGGCGAATGGCCCACTTAGAATGCACAGGGGATGGGGATACAAAGAGCCAGATCTAACGACTCCAGAATATGCCGAGAAGGTTCAGAGTTATGCCCTGCCGTACAACTCAAATGTACTGTGCCGTATTAAGATTGTTTGAGTTAGCTGAGAAAGCTGAGAAAGCTGACAGGTTCATGATGACCTCTTAATCGCGGATGGTGTAATGTTTCAATCCACCTATCTGCACTTGGGAAGACTCTGTGGCCAACACAGTCCAAGTTCATGTTCATTCAAATAGCTCTGCCACCATCGACCTCCAAGTTGACACCAGTGATGAACTTGCTCTCGTCCGAAACCAAGAATACAGAGGCGTCTACCACGTCTTCAATCTCACCCAATCTTTGTAAGGGGACGTTTCCAATGAACTTCTGACGATTTTCCGGTGTGTCCTTCATACCAATGAAGGATTCGAATCTACGCATGTGGATGAGCAACAACTAGATGGCTCAGAAGAATCCAACTTACAGGCCAGTTCCAGTCAAAAGAGGACAGATGGAATTCACGCGAATCTTATGGGCACCGTACTCGGCCGCCAATCCCTTGGTCGCCTGCAATCTGGTTAGCCAAGTGTCGTTTATCTATATCAGTCACTCTCTACTTACGTTGCAGACGGCTCCCTTGGAGGCATTGTACCACACAAGACCTGGCCGGGGGCGCAGAGCTCCAATCGAGGAGATGTTGAGCATCACGCCTCCTTCCCCTTGCTTGATGACTCGCGGCATGAACGCTGCGGTGCCGAGGAAGATACCCTTCACGTTGACATTGAAGACCTTGTCAAACTCGCTCTCTGTTACCTCAGCCGTAGGCTGTGGCAGTGGGAAGTCAGCGTATCATTCCCTACGAATCATAACCGTTTAGTTTATAGATGTGCGGAAATGCTGACCTTGTTCCTGTAAGTCGTGCCGGCGTTATTCACAAGACAGTCGATTCGGCCGTAGCGCGATTGCGCGGCATCCATCAACTTCTCCCAGTCCTCAGCATTTGTGACGTCTGCTTTGAAGAACGATATCGAATCGGGAGCGCTTTGCGCTACTCTTTGTCCGTCGCTCTCATTGATGTCGGTAATGAGAACTTTAGCTCCTTCTTGGGCGAATTTGTTGGCAATACCCTCGCCGAAGCCATGCCCTCCGCCTAGAAAATGTCAGAAAGCCCAGGATACGACTGGAAGTGAAGGTTGTTCTACCTGTGATGATGACGACCTTTCCAGCTAGTCTCGATCCTGTCTTGGTGTCACTCATGTTGATTGCTTCTTCGCCTCAGACGTCCAGATATTGATACAATTTTTGGTGTAGTTGATCAAGATGGTTTGTTGATATTTGCTAGACACAAATACCCTTTTCAATATGTCACAATTATAACCCCTCATTTAAATAACCATAGAGGTTGTACAGCGCATAGCGTTCATACTAAGACCGCGACAAAGCACATTGCATCATAAGAAGGCGGGGAGGTGCGGGGGCTAGGACGCCGGGCAACGAATTCCGTGTGCCGCCACGGCACGGTCCGGCGAAACCCTTTACGGCTCGGTTATACAACCCATTTTCCGTGGTTTTTCTTTTTCGAATTGAATATGCGAATGTCAACAACATGAAGAGCGCTCGATAGATGCATGTTGTCTTACTCGGGTCTTTGTTGCCAATGCAGTATGCGACAACACAGCACACCTCCATGTCGAATGGACATCAGCTCGTTACCACAGATGTTGTGAGGTTCAGCAACAAAATCCACGAGTGATTTTAGACGTCAAAACTCAAGTCTTTCCAGGTCATTCACGATAGTCCGCGACTCTGCACTTGGGATTCATCTACCTTACTCCAGAGCCTCTTGAGTAATCGTCACTCTGTGTTAATTACATGTATCTGAGGCCATTGTGCGCCGTTTTTATGAAGTCAGTGAGAGAATTAAGTTCCTGAGAGCGGCTTTCTGTACCAATCAAAGTAAGATTGGAGCGATGCCTACGTGTAGATAAGGCAAGAGTTGAAATGCTCAAGTTACGTGGCTCTCAGAAACTTGCCAAACTTTTTAACACTTGTTGCTTACCAAATTCAAACTGCGGGGGATTAGGGAGTCGACTCTCGTTTTTGATGGAAGTGCTCATCCATTATGACGCGACTGTCACCACTCCTGGATTGAGATTCAAAAGCTTACTAGTGCTAGATATCAAGAATTGAAATCGGTTGCCTAGATTAGAAAATAAGTAAATTTGCACTAGGCAACCAAATTGGTCTTCAAAAGTAAAACTTCTGACAACTTGTTGCAGTATCATTGCAGTAACGAGGTAGCATATGTCAAACTCACCGAGTCAGGTTTCCAAAACCCAATCTTGATGTCACTCCCTAACCCAACTTCCGAACGGGAAGACGCAGGGGATTGCTGTTCGTCCTAACACATACGCGTTCTAGAAAGGTTTTGCGCTGCCTCACTCATTCTTCAAAGAAAAGCGTGGGGTCTCATCCCATGATCTCCAAAGTTTCATCTTCCCTGCCAGCGAAACCACATCCATTGACTTCACTACTCCTCAACACCCCACACGACTAACTCCAGCCCCAATATACCCCGCATGGAGCTAGGCATTTGGAAAGATAAGCGACTCCTGGTCGGGGATTGCCCTGTCTATAAGTCCCGACTACAACAACCGTTCCGCCAAGATGGCTGCGCGGGCCAACCGGTCAACTCTGCGGGGTGCTGCTAAGCTGAACTCTGTCCGAGGTGTGTTCGGCATCAGGTTTTGAGAGGGTAAGAAATGCGGCAGATGTCAATCCCCATACTTGCGGGCGTTGATTTCCCGCAGGCGCTTTTCGGAGTGTGCTTAAATACCGACTCCGTCTTATATCTCGACAATTGAGGACACCATTCAGTTTCTCACCAATTTATTGTCCTCAACCACCAAAGACGATGGCTACTATTCAACAAGCACCTATGCTGGGGGTGACCCCAAGCATGACTCAAGGTCTAAAGTCGTCGACCGAGCATGTTGAACATGTCGAGCACGTGGAAGACAAAGCTTCTTTGATCCAAAAGACAAGTTTGCTAGGGTTGAAAAATATTGAGACAGAAGCATATGTGGTGGACAAGTTGAACGCTGACTTTGAGCTGGTTCCAATCATTCTTGATGAGATTCGACCAAATGAGGTTCTTGTTGAAATGAAGTACAGTGGAGTGTGTATGTCAACTTCAACAATCACCTGGGAACATCTCGTTCGTCAGCCATTGACAGTATCACAGGCCATACCGATATAGTAACACAACAGGGCGGTCTTCCCTTCGTTGAGTTTCCTGCCATTTTCGGTCACGAAGGAGCTGGTGTAGTCCGCGACATTGGAAGAGACGTCAAGATCAAGGACCTGGCCATTGGTGACGCAGTTCTCCTCTCCTTCAATCATTGTGGATCATGCAAGACCTGTACGAGCGGTCATTCTGCACTCTGCCCAGAATCGTCAATGATCAACATCAATTCCGTACGGGTAAGCGACCGCAGCACACCAGCTCGGCTGGCTTCCGATGGCCGTGCTGTCCGGAGTCAATTCTTTGGGCAGTCCTCATTCTGCAAAATGTCTGTCGTCAACGAGAAATCAGTGGTCCGGTGCCCACCGTCGGCGGTAGAGCACATGGGTGTCTATGCCCCACTCGGATGCGGACTCCAGACCGGCGCCGGAACGGTCATGAACGTCGTCAAGCCGGGCAAAGAAGACTCCATCATCATTTTCGGACTCGGAAGTGTGGGTCTTGCGGCGTTGATGGCTGCACACTACCTCGAAACCGGGCAGATCATTGCCGTCGATATTGTTCCCGAGCGCCTTGTGCTTGCCAAGGAGCTTGGAGCCACACACACTATCAACTCGAGGGAATGCAGCGACGTAGTCCAGGAGATCAAGAAAATAAGCAACGGGGGTCCAACGTTCGCTGTAGAATGCACTGGAATCTTGAAGGTCATTGAAGACATGATTGCTTGCATCGGTCCCCTGGGTACAGCAGTCCAAGTTGGGGTACCGCCTCCAGGAGCCATAATCAAGCTCGACCCGCAAGAGTTCCTGATTGGGAACAAGAAATATGTTGGCGTAATTGAGGGAGACGCGGTTCCTGCAGAGTTCATTCCCAAATTGATCTCCATGCACCAAGAAGGCAGATTCCCCATCGACAAGTTAGCTGGGTTTTATCCAGCATCACAGTTGAACCATGCCATACAAGAAATGGCTGCCGGAAAAGTAAGTTGTCATAGCTTCCGTCCAGTTTCTTCGTCTTCTTCGAAAGCTAACCAAATTTAAAAAGGTCATCAAGCCAGTGATTCAATGGATTTAGCCCAGCATCCCGTGGCCAGGTAGACAAAGCGATGGGCTTGGCTGGACAGAGGCCTCGAACAAATGATCGTCAGCGGGGTACATATTTTTGGTATAGAGATACATCTGTCGACTCGTTCTAGATCTGATTTCACTGCATACTTCCGCGTGGTCCCGCGGTCAGCAAGCTATTATGAAAGCGGCAGGCTGGCTGGCTTGTCGATCCTATCTCCACTGATTCAAGCCTTGGTTCGAAGCACGCCAAGTCAGTTGTTGATCATTCTTCGAGAGACTAGTCACGCCTAAGAAATAAAAATGTGTGTTTAAACCAAGCGTCATCTGCAACTCAATTTGGCCCCAATTGCCTGGAAAAGAGATCGCGCCGTGTCTCATCAAATCGTTCAACGCCACCAAAAGCCTCTTAGTACTACAAGAATGCGTCTCACTTCAGCCCTGCCACCGGAAGATTAGACCATACTGCAAACGGCTTTCACCCGCATGTATCACCGCATTCCCCAAGCTCATGTAAGATGAATGTCTCACGTGGCCTCTTAGAGCAGCTATCGCTCGAGTTAGCCATGTACACTGCGGCGGGATCGGTCCGGTCCCGCACTGGAGAAGCCGTTTCTCGACTGCCGGGAGTTAGTGTGCTGGTTCCCACAGGAACTGGCTGTTCCTCTCTTATTGCGTCTAGCTGCAAAAAAGTCTCGGAAACCTATCGCGTGCCTCTATGGACGTTGACAGAGTCACAGGATTTGTTGGTAGGCAATAAGCAAAGCAGTCAAATTAACCAGCTAATCACATGCTTCCCCCAAGCTATCTCTATGATGATACCGATGCCCACCATTACTTAGTAGTGATCAATTTTGAAGGCGCCGAGTGAACTGTCAGCGGCAGTGGCCGACTGGGTCCCTCGTCGTCTGAACCCCAGAAGTTCAACTTGGCAATGGCCAGGTTTGTCTTCTCCTTCATATCATCACCATACACCCACAAATGCTTCATCTTCCTCGTAGAGTTCTTGAGGTGTTCTACCGCCTTATTCTGAAGGATAGGGGCCGTCTGTAATGGAGAAACCCAACCTGTTTCGTCTGTCGGATCATGATGCAGACAAGCTGCCAGCACGATCGATTTGAGTGAGTCTCGGCTGCTGAAGTCTCCTGCCAGGCTTTCCCATCGCTGGGCAGCAAGGTCCTCGGCCTTGATGGATGATGTGGGACTGCGCGCGGCCACCCAAACTGGCAACCGGCATTCCAAACCCCATCGGTCTTCCTCAGAATCCACGTCCCACCCACGAAAGATGACAGCCTTTCCGCGAACATCGCGAAGAAGAGGCCATTGTTTGCCTGTGTACAAGAGATTTTCTTTCTTCATATCCCTCTTGAAGTCTCTGTTGAAGTTCTTCGGCAGATCGTCGTAATTGATGCTGTAACCCTCGGACCAATGCTTGTCGGCGTCATATGTTGCGGAGGCGGATGAGAAACTGAGCATGATCATGACGGTTTCGTTCTTATTGTCTTTCAAGAAGTCCCTGACATCATCAAGTACGTCTTCGAGCTGCTTTTCAAGGACCAGAGGGCCGTGCCGTAGTCTGCGTTCTCCGTCACATCGTAGGTCGAGCAGCCGAACGCCGTTTTGAAGTTGAGTGCGAATACTGTCTTTGTGGCACTTGTGCATGCCGAGTAACTGTAACCTCAGCTTCTTATCGCTGATTTCTGGCTCGACGTCAATGTTCGCGACATCGTTGATCCAATAGGTTGAGGCACTGCTACAACGAGTTCCCGGTAAGCTCAAATCCTTTACACACATGTCGTCGGGGAGGTGCTTCATCCAAGATTTGGCACAGAAATCGGTTCTGTCAGCATGTTAGATTGGGAAATGTCATGCCTTGACTCATGACTACTATGCTCACTTGGGCTGCATGACACATTGCCGCTTCTCAAAGTCAAAATTGGCTGTCGAGCCAACGTAATCCCGATAACTATGAATGGTCAGCTAGTGCCGGAGTTCGTGACTCGGGCAAAGTGAACTCTGGAACTCACTCGGTTGCTTTCATGTACTTGTTGCGGTATCGAAAGGCCCCCTCAATGACAATGTAGTACTCGAAATGGCGCGTGTCTGTAGTAAGGCCCAAAAGATTACTGAATTGAATAAGTTCAACTCCCTTGCGAACCCATCGCGTTCCGGGCAGAAGCTTGAGTGATCCTCCAGCAGAAGCCCAGATTACGACATGATATTCAGGGTACTGCGCCTGCAGAACCTGCAATCTGTTCTGAACAGGGTTTTTGGCGCTTGTCGGAAGTCCCACTGCCATGGTTGGATTGTTGATTTGTTGCGAATTGAAGATCAACGGAAATGCTTTCGCAACTGAAAAATGAATCATACCTTGAGCCCCGAGACAGAATTATATAGATGCTCACGGCATTTCCCCCTGCACTGCTTCAGATGCGTGTTTTTCATGTCAGACTAGCCTGGCTGATAGGTGACAAAAGTCCGGGGTAAGACAACCTGCATTCGTCCAGTTAGGCTGAATACGCCAAGAAACCAACCCATCTCTCGCACCATGCGGCTGAGCCGTAGTGAGACAAACGAAAGCCATAGTTCTATCCAGGCCGTTTCCGGTGTGAGTTACTCGTGGTTCCGGCAGGTACGCACGCGACCATAGAAACGATGGTGAGTACCCAATGCTGGAGCCTGGAGCGTGGACGTACTTGACTAGGACGATGACTGCGCCCCTGATACAAAATAGAGACTACGACGTTACCATGGACCTGAAGCTCTATCATATGGACCAGCCGCCTCCTTTCAACTTCTGCACCACACTTACTTATCATGGAAAGTGCTTACAACAGTCCCCCGTCGACACCCGGCGCCAATACTTTCAACGGTGCTACAAAAAGCCCGTCTGACTCGGACACGATTTTGACATTTCAACGCATAGACAAAGCAACACCTACGTCATCTTCTGGGGCGAAGGCTGATGCCACGTCTTTTCCAGTGACGGGAAGCCCTGCGGGAACCATCGGGTTCGCCGTGCTGTTGAAGAAATGCGGCTTCAACGCCAACGCGAACGTTGGGATGCACGGTGTCACCATGGCTAAGATCAAAGAGGGGATGATTGCAATTGGTCTGGCCAAGGAGTTTGACATATGGAGTTCTCCGTCATCTATGCTCCTCGACTATGACCTTACTCTTTCGGAATACGTGGAGCAGGTATCGAAGCTTACGAAAAGTCCCCAGTCGGATGTGAGAATTTACTACGGTCTGAAAAAGGATCACAACGCGCAGACAGTACAGGACATCTACAAGACTGGAGATTTTATCATCAGGATCGTCCAAATCAAGAATGATAAGTCGCAGGCGATTCAAGCTCTCAGAGTGATGAAGTCGCCTCCAGAAGATGCACATGAAACTGGCCATATCATCGATATCCAGGACCTAGGCTCTCGGACACTCTGGGACTTGAGAGACGGAATTAGCGCAATGCAAGTCTACCATGTTCTTGACTCACTCTGTATTTCCACTTCTAACATCACAACATGAAGGTCGCAGCTAAAAGATAAACATCATTTTTGTCTGCCGGATGAAACCCCTCTTTCTGATAAAACCAGATTCGACGACTACATCAAGATGCTTGTAAGTTTGAGCCCTTTCAATTTCACCATTTGAACACCCAGACTGAACCAACAAATCAAGGATGAGACATGTCCATATGAGAGTAGCGTTCCATCGATCAACCTCAGGTTTAAAGACGCTTCATCTTGTTTCGATGAAGATCAGCCAAAGACAGTTTTGACAGCTTTGGGTGGCAATAAAGCAGTTCAAAAGGCTGAGGTACGACACCATGGATCTGGATTTTAACTGATTGACTGACACAGTTTCGCCACAGGCCTCCAGGTTAGAGTGATCCGTTTAACCACGTTTTACGTCAACTTGGATTCACAATTGATACCTAACCATCAAGTCCAGTATCTCACCGTCATCACTCGATGAGTTGCAGTGGGAACTCGTCATGAAGAACTGCCAAGTCATGCACGGCTGGTATATTGATCCGGTCAGCACTGAGATCAAAATGGCACCAAAACCGGGTTCGTTGTTGATGTTTGACAATAAGAGCTTCTACTGATAGTAGTATAGCATTCCGTCTCAAGTCAGGTTTGAATCTTGACTACAGCCCAGATAGCACAGTCTCCACTGCAGAGGTTGAGATCGCCATTCCCAATTACGGGGTCACGGACGGTTCAAAAATTGATGTCGTCACTACTGAGAGCGGAATCAAGCACTCTCTTGTTCGTAATAGCTTTGACAAGTCTTCTATGGATAACAAACTCGCCCTCGGCTACTCAGGAATCGGTATCAACGTGGCTAGCGGAAAGTCCTTCGACTCCCAAGGTGAGCAATCATCAGGGAGCAATAGGTCTGTCAAGAGCATGATCGGCATATACAAGGTAGGCAACGCACTACCAGAACTAAGTTACTTGACTTCACATCGCTTATAACCGCCTAGCTTCCCCGAGCTACTTTGTTTCTTAACGCGGATGATCTCGTTCCGACCAAGGCATTCACAAATGGCATTGAAAAGATCAAGGAGCTAGGTGAGGAAGCGGATGAGACAGACGTTCGCAAATTTTACGAAAGATTTGGTACGTGGTGGTCCCATGATACAGCTTCCGCCTCACACAAGATGAAATTGTTGAAACCTTATAGGGCAATTTTTCTGCCACGAGGTCATTCTCGGGGGAATGTTGCTTTCGACAAAAGCTCTGGTTGGCAACGAATCCCAGGACGAAGAAAAGAGCCGATGTTCCTTCAAGCACGCTATCGGGATGTCTGTCTCCTCTGTATGCATCCTATCTGAAACGACTTTACACCTCTATTAAGTACCGGAAAAACTAACGAGTAGCTATAGCCTGTGGAAGTCATCATTGGGGCGGAGTCAAAGAAAGAAATCGCATCAGGTGCCGATCAGAGCATTGTTCGCAGCTATAAAGATAGCGATGACAGTGTGGTGTTCGAAGCAGTTGGTGGGAATACCATCTTGGCTTCCAAGTACGAGCCCTTGGCTCCAAAACTCCGTGTGTGATCTGACGTTTTCACAGCCCACAACAATGGTGCGCAACAGTTGGAGATTACAACAACTGGAGAGTTATCGGGGTAAGAATACTATATGTGGTTAATGCGATGGTGATTAATTCTTGCCTAACGTTTTGATAGAGACAAGAGATGAAGTTGATCCTCGACTCCTTCAAAGATAGTGGAGATCATGAGCTCCAAGATGTCGTCGACTTGTTCACTAAAGCATCTCAACTTACTGTCTCGAAGTTCATTGACATTCCAAAGTCAGCAAAGATCATTGCGCAATTTCGATTCAAGACGAAGAGTACGAATGCGGACAAAACACACTACCTTCGTCATGACATCTACAAACTCATTGACTTTGGACTTCGATCTGCGAGCGAGCAGAGGATTATGCCACAGAAGTAAGTTGCCATCCCGGACCATGCATGTAATTTCGGAACATAGGCTCACTTGGGTTATATCGCAAGATTTCAGGGGCCGCGAGTCGAACCATACGACCCTTCATGGAAAGACCAAGATGGTCTTTGGACCATAGCTCCAGTGGTGGGAGCTGGGCTATGTTGCCATGGGAGTCAAGGGCGATCGCAATTAGTCGATGGCTCTAGGGTCACTATCCGCTCGGGGCGTGATTCGCAAACCGCCTGGTATCTCTCCGTCCTCAGAACTTCGGCGGGAATCTTCGTTCCCTGTATCACGACCTCGAAACACTTTGTATGGAGAGTCCGAGAAGTTCTGCGGCCCAACACCAGGAGCACCATTGCTAAAGAGCCGTCACCCGACAAACCGCTCAGACACGATGCGGTCCTATGCTTGACTTATGACTTTGAGGACAACCCCCGAGGCTACCGAGACTTCAAAGACGATGATCGCGGCTTCCGGAATGTAGAGTACCCGGACAAAGACACCACCCAGTTGGTGCTCGTTGAATCACGTAACAGAACGGATATATGGCCGGATCGCAGAGTTCTTCTTCTTGCCGACGGGGAACCCTTTTTTACAGAATCTACTGCCAAAGTCGCGGACTTGAATGATTCCGAGATCTCTGTGAGAATTGCAAAGTTCAACATCGACGTCCGTGGTAAGTTGCCTTTTATTTTGTTGCTTCTAACCACTTGGGAGATTTGAATGGCTGAGTTGCACACACTTACCTGCGCGGCATAGACCAAATGGATGACGACTATGATATCTTGCAAAAAGATGGCGATTTCATCACGGCGAGACACGAGGAGCAGCAGAAGAAGTTGAAGACCAGAGATGAGGGGTCCTCGGGGTAGTCTTCTTCTGAGATAGCAGACTAGGATATGTTTGGGTGCGATTGACGCCTAAAGTACTAAGGTAGTATGGATCAACTTGAATTCGAGTATGACTTCTTTGATCCCTCCATCATGCAATAAAAGCACCCAATGCCAAAATCACCCAAGCCCTCAAAGTTGCCCCCCGGCCATTTCATATCTTGCTTCTTTGTTCGCATGCTACAATCCGGGCCACTTGAAATAACATCAGCATCAACTCACACTCGCAAGAGAGGCAGAATCAAGAGGCTCAAAAACTCACAAGAAGAACTTGCATGTCGCGCCTTCACCTGGGCGAGCGGACTTGACTTTGCCACCCCAGTTCCAGTTCGGGTACGTCTCCAGGCCATCTCGGAAACAGGCCCACCAGCAGTCACCTTCCCAATCCTTTTCGGTACAGAGATGAACGGAGACGCAAGGTTGTTGCTCCCGCCTTTCTATAGCTGCTTCGAGGGGACCTATATGGGTTCCATCTGTCGGACGTTCGGAGACGTGGGTGGTCGGTGATGGGGATAGGAGATTATTCCAGTGCTCCTGCTCTAGTTGAGAAGCACGCGTAGGATTGATTATAGTCGACATGGAGGCATCAGCTGCAGCGATCATGCAATTGAAGACAATGGCGTAGATGTATGGATTGAGGGCCAACATGGTGTTGATGGTGAATGGCCCAGAAAGGAGTGGCCTAGGATCACTTGGTGCAATGTAGCGGGGAGATCAAGAACTCAAGACGACACTTACCGGCGCCACGACGTAGTTTTATTCTGGTTTTCTGATCATCTAGGGCCTCTACTGCATGGCACATTACATGTTTGGTGTCTTTGATTGTTGACAGGAGCTCTAAAGAAACATCCCTCGATGTTGTAAATGCCCAAAAATGACACAAAGAGATGAAGTGGTCTGGCAGTCCCTTGGAGTCGCACGTGGATTTGAGAACGGCAAACTTCACATCAGGGATGCCTCTGGCTTTGGGAGCATCGCTCCACGAGCTGTAAGGGAGTGCTGGGCGATTTCGAATTCGGACAGCAAGCTCCAATGGGATTTGGGGGCTCACTGGCATCAATGTGCTTGGGAATCAATGCGCAGACATCCCTTTCCGCTACTGTTTTATCTTCGCAGCGATCTGAGTATCATGGCAGACCAAAATTTGAAGCAAGATTTACCTCTGCCTAGATCCTTCAACTCGGCTTCCACACTGCCTCTAAACTGCCGTCTCGGGCCGTGTGCGCAAATATCGCGAGGCACTCGGCTTCGAAAGTTGCACTTTCGCATTCCCCCGAAGCTTACTCCTCAAAATAGCTTCATCTGAGACCATTGGTCTTTTCTTTCCCACCAACCCAATCCGATGACCCTCCATCGTGGATCGTTGTCTCAAAGAAAACATCTGGATACGAAGTTTCCCCCAAACCACAGGGCCAAGGTTGAATCTCTTAGGTCATGCCGATGCAAGCTCAGCCAAACCGAAATCGAGCCGTGCCACCACCTCCAAATAAGCCATCAAGCCACCACGATGCAGAGCCCACGATATTCTGATAGGACGCCTCTTCCTCACTTCAACAGCGCTGATTGGTCGTGAGAGTTCCAGCTCCCAGAGCTGAGCCTCCTCCACACAACGCTCGTCATACCCCAACTCCAACAAACAAAGTGGAACGCCTTGCGGAGACTTTTTAAACATCATCGCGTGATGATGAAGGCCTCTGTAGGACTTAAATCCCATTGGGCGATGTTCGTATACCGCTTCTCAAATTAAGCTTACATGGCTACTGGGTTTATGTGGCCTATTGCTATGAGTTGCGGGGTTAAGAGAGAGAATTGCAGGGCTGACGGAGACCTCACCCGAAGGCTGAAATGTGGAAAGCCAAGTCGGGCTGTGTCAGTTTACGAGACGTATCGGTGAGAAAGTTGTGAGGCGCCATCTCGTGAGGACACCCGGTTCAGACCCCTTGACCACCTTATGTGAGATTTCGAAGAGCTGGGGAATGCCACGATACCTCTGCTTTTGCCTGATTCCCATCGGGTGCAGTAAGTCTCGAGATGAAAAGCTGTCTTGAGGGCTTCGTCGTATAGAATGAAGTTATAAATACAAGAAGGGTCATCCGTCTTTCTGGACGCCCATCTACCCTCATCACCACCATCCCCAGCTCACAGAATACCACCATCCTACTAGCTCCAAATATCGTCAAATCCCATCCCACAACCAACACTCACCAACCCTCACCAACCCTCACCAAACCTCCACCAAAATGTTCCCCAAGACCGTCCTCGCCCTCCTCCTCACCGTAACCTCCGCCCTCGCATCCCCCTTAGAAACCCGCCAAGCATCGACCTACTTCACCCCCTCCTCAACCTTCACCTACAACACCAGAACCGGCGCCATCACCCCAACCTACGGCACGGCCATCGTCTCCAAATCCACCTCCAACGCAGGCAACGACCTCACCGCCCTCCTAACCTTCACCTACCCGCCCGCCGCCGCCGGCAAAAAGTGCCAGTTCTACTTCTACCTCGACGCCGCCACCTCCAGCGTCTCGGGCAGCCGCAAGCTCGACGTCTTCACCTCGCTGAAGCCCGCGCCCGCCGGCGGCTCGCCCGGCTGGGGCGCGGGAGGACCCGGGAACCAGAGGAACGTGAACATCGGGCGGTTGTCTGTTGTTGCGGGCGGGTATGCTACGTGGGATGCCACGTACGGGGCGTACTTGACCGCGCCGACGGATTGCAAGGCGCCTGGTACCGTGGAGGGGCTCGAGCTCGTTGGCGTTAATGACAATGATTATGTTTCGTGGAATACGCAGGTTTCTGGGGCTCGGATTGCTTACTTCTGAGCTGCTTCTTCTTGGAACGAGGGTGAGTGTGGGGGTGACTGGGCAGGAGAGACATGTGTTCGATTCTGCGTCGCTCATTTGACGTTCTTGTACGTTCTCGTTACATGTTGATGTTTGTTGTAGAGAATTTGGCTTAGGATTGCTTTGTAGAGAAGGGTGTCAGTCATGCTTTACCTTACACTCCCTTATGGCATATCGGATATTTATTACTGAATTATTGCTTCAATGCTCTGTCTGGTTAACAACCTACTTGTCCCCAGGTCGCTCAACAGTGATTGTCAGCTCTACTATCTACCCAGAGCCCTCCACAGTGATTTCTATCATCAATGCAATGGACTTGAACTTGTCCACTACCACTTCTCTAGTCACAGGTCTGCGCCGTCCAGACACAGAGCATCTTCTTTAGTTCCTTAATCATACCTAAAACTCCTCTCGTCTACCCGCATCATATCCCCCACGCGTTCGCCATGCCCTTGAGAACCTTGCAATCCCCCCTGTGCTTCTTCCAATCCTCCTTCTGGCATTCCTATGTAGTCAATCATCGTCAGCACGTCCGCATCACAACATCACTCCCGCCAGCCAGTCAAAAAGCAGCGAGGGGAAACAGCACGAGAATGAGGTTAAAGTAAAGACTCACCTTGCCACAATACCTCGCAACAACACAAGCAGTACAACTCTTCAACGTCTCACCCTCTCCAGTCCCCTTCCCACACCCAGCGCACTCCCTCAACCACCGCCCACCATCCTCCCTCACCCGCGCCCCCAACTCCCCAATCTGCTCCAGCCCGCCAGGGACATACTTCACCCCTGTCCCCTTCCCCTCCGGCACCCTAACAAACCCCCTCTTCCCGCCCTTCGGCGCCGTCCTCACCCCGCGCGGCACGACAATCGTCCACCCGCCCTTGACGGGCCGCAAATCGATCCCGCGGTCCTCAAACGTGACGGCGAACTCCGTCTGCTGACGATCGACGACCACGAGCGTCGGTTTCGTGATGGTCATGTTTTGTTTTACCTGCGCTATGAGGAACCATTCTTCGCGTGCGTCGTGGGAGGATGGTCTCGTGACTGCCGTGGAGGAGGATGAGGAAGCGGAGGCTTTGGCGGTGCCGGAGCCGGATTGGGAGTCCGTGTAGGATGGCGGGTCGGAGGGGGCCGGCGCATACGAGGGCGGCTCCGAGGATGCGGCGTAGGAGGGCGGATCGGCGGCGCCGGGTTCCTCGATGGGGAGGCCTTCAAAGATTGGGAAGATTGCCTCGTTGGCAAAGTCCGGGATCGGCATGCTTACTGAACTCCCGGTTGTTTTTCGGTGGCAGGGATTATAACTGGTCAAGCGAGACTCTTAATAGATGGAGGAAAGAGGATGCCCAATCAATCTGAGAAGAAAAGACCGGAATGAGCTAAATTGAGCAACGTTGTCAACAATAGTCCTGTGGGTTTCACTGAGAGGTTGGATGAGAGAGAGTGTGAGTGAACGATTGATTGGTGGGAGTGTGAGATTGATTGACCAGAGAGAGGGATCGTCCATGAGTCTCTCCGGCCCTGTGATTGGCTTAGTCCACCACAGCGGAGAAACTTCAAACACCAAAGACTGCTAAATAGAAAATTGACGAACCGGAGAAACATCGGCCAGAATTATCAAGGGGACTTGGCATTGTTCCCAAAATTCCTTCTCGAACGTTTAGGCGACCGTTATGCCATGGCCCACGGTCACCTTTGCTGAAACGACTGCCGCTGCAGGATGGGACGACAGCTTTCGAGATGACGTAGACTGTAACGTCTGGTCAGAGGGGGCAGAACAACCGTCCGATATGCTCAGCCGTGCGAAGCAGCAGTGCGCCAGCACCCAAAGTTTGCGTGTGCAGATGACAGGTCCAGCGCCTGAGCCCAGCGAGTGCCCCAACCTCGGACGAGATGGCGTCATGGCGCTGGTGGACTTCTATGCGGTCAGTTTCAGCATGTGCCCAAGACGGCTGGCCTGCTCTGGGCGAGAGGAAATAGACACGGCATGCGCAATATTCAATCATGGTTCATTTTGACAAGAGTGTCTATTCTAGAAACCTATGTGTGTCGTAGTATAGCTACATTATAGACTATAGTGACCCCTCACTATCGTGAGCTATCCAGTGCCCATTACTACCGCAGGGGAGTGTGAAGAATGGAACCAAATCCAACAACCGCATTGCCCAATATTCGTTTTGGGACAAATGTACAATCGACAACGCCAAGTAAATACAAACCAGGCCGTCCTTGGCCTCGACGCCGGTATATCCCTATTGCGAGCATGACTCGCCAGCAGGACCGTGGTGCTGCTACATGTCAAGAAAATGACGCAGAAAATTCAAGTCGTTATGTTGCGCTCATCAACCCATTTACGCTCCGAAACTCATCCAGCCAAACGTGCCGGCCGCGCATCCCAGAACCAGGAAGGTCAGGATACCAGCGCCGGCCTTATCTGCCGTTGTGACTGGCGTCTCTGTGCCGAGTAGATTGTCCGAGTGACTACCGGCGTTGGGGTCTCCTTTGGAGATACCACCAGTGGTGTTTGTTACTGGTGCCTTCACATTGCCAATGAGCAGAGATGATACGGCGCCGAGCACGTTCATCTGTTGGCCAGCCCCCTTGGTGCCGTCGTACACGCCGGAGCTCCATTTGAAGCCACACGTTCGTTGGTTATCCTGCCCTGTGCACTGCTTGATAGCAGCATCTGCAGACGTCTTGAGAACTGGGAGAATTTTGTCGGCAGTGTATGGTGCAATCTGCGTCGTGACCGACATCCATCGGGCGACGTAGCCCTTGAAACTCAGCATATCGGTTGTGCAGGTGTTGTGCTCCTCGCAAGCAATCTCGAATGCAATATTGTTGGGGAAGAAAATTTTCAAAGTTCCTTCGATAAGACCGTCCAAGCGTGTCTTCCACGCGGCGGCGCCGTCCGTCTGGGATGAAGTTAATATCAAGCTCATCTAGATGCATGAGTAGAAGCCACTTACGTAGTTATACATCATGGCAGCGCCGAGGATGAAAACGCCGTTGTTGTAAGAGAACTGGGCCTTGTTGATATCGGTACAATTCTGCTCAACGTGACCACCATCGTAAATGTTGTAGTCGGCATCGATGAAACCAACGGATGTCATCCAGTCCCAGGTCTTCTCGGCCCAATCGGCATATGTCTGGTTCCTGGTGTACCGGGCTAGTCTGGCACCAATGTTGAAGAAGCAGCCGTTTGCGATACCTATAAGCAATCAGTATCAGGTTCGTTGGAGGCGTGAGCGTCAGCATTACTGTTTTTGTAGTTATATCCGTTGTTGGAGAGAGGAATTTGCCAGCGGAGACCGCCTCCGCAAGTGTTATCGTGTCTGTCGGGACTGGCCATGGTGTTGAAAACAGCTTGGGCGAGAGCCAGCCATTGAGCCTCATCCTCGGGTGGGTTAGGGAAACCGTCCTCGGCAGCAGTCATGGCAGACATGCCCCAGAAACCTTGGTCGTCGTTACCCAGGGAGGCAGTGTAATTAGGAGGCATGTAGTCGCGGTCGGGTCCGACCTGGTGAAGCATGGCCTGCATGACAACGTCGTTGTAGGTCGAATCGCCAGTCAAGTGCCAGTAGTCGATCATAGTTCCCCACATGGCACCAGCTTCCCACCAGTAGTAATCACCGGCTGGCGGAGGACCGGGCAAAATACCGGGCGTGTGGCCAGTCAAGTTACCATCGTAGAAGCTCATGAGGTCGTAGGCGAGACCTTTTGTGGTGGCCTTGATGTCATCTAGGCACGGCGTTAGTAAGGCGATAGACCGGGGCCTGTCGAAGGCTCGAGTTGAGGGATGAATGTACCGTCGGAAGCGATGGAGTATGCAGCGCTGGCGAAACCGCTCGAGACGAGGAGCGCTGTCGCAGCGCTGGCAATGGAAGAGAATTTCATGGTGGTTATCGTCGAGTGACGTTCACGTTGATTTGAAGCGAGCGACTGGTTGAGAGGGGAGAAACGGGACGGGAAATTGAGAACCAAAGTCAATTCCCTCGGTGCGGCGCGATCGGACTAGGGCCGTATCATGCGAGTATTTCGAAGTAGGTCGAACGTGAAGAATGGGCGAAGAGTCGTGGAAGTGCCAGCTGTCGAATATCGCTGCTGGAAGTCGTCGGGATGGGTTTCTGTAAACAGGCAAAACGAGGGTTGGAGGAGAAAGGAAAGGAGATGAACAGGGACGTTGGAGGGAGAAGGAAGACGAGGAGGGAGGGCCGGGAAAGAAGGAGTGACAGCGAAGGGGTGTGGTGTGGTGTACACTGGCACTAGGTGACTAGGTACTCAAAAGTCAGGTAGCTGGGACGCCGGGCGGGTGCAAGTGCGAGAAATGGTAAGAGGGTGCCGGGATGGTGGCTGTACCGGGAACATGGAGGACGGGCAGTTATTTGGTGGTGGGCAAGCGTCGCGTCAAGTTGCGGTACATTCACATTTATCTGCATGCCTGGGGAGTCAGTATGAGCCTACGAGGTAGGGCAGCGGGAATAAATGGACAGCGCCAATTCAGGTTCTCGCTGTTGCAGGAATGCGGAATTGGAAAACAATGACCAACGCCTTTCCCTCGCCCACCGATCGTCGAGCGTTGGCCGGTGGCTGCGCCGGCAATGTGACGTCCATCAGGTGTTGAGTAAGGTAAGTATTCGTACGTCGTCCATCTGCTCTATCTACTCGCGTGCCAATGCATCCGACAGCGACACCACAGGATTCGTAGCGTCGAGTTCCTGTGCTTCCGCGACGGTAATTCGTGCAGTGCCCAGGCGCGCCAAGTCACCAGCGTGGAAAACAAGCAAATTCCAAGTTTTCCAGCGTCTTGTCCCGTGGTCTTGGCGATCCAGGGACAGGGCCCGAATGCCAAGAGACTGGGGGTATCCGTACGCCAGACCTAGCAGAAGGTAGCGTATGGCGTCAAGGCCGACTCCATTTGTCTTGGCCATTGAATGTTTTAATTGTTCATGACCATCTATGTAAACCTATGGGTATTGTTGAGGCATCATGGCACATTTGGGACAGGCGAGTCTGCTCTTTTCGGTTCTTCCTCGTATCCATACGATGCTTGACAAGTACCGGTACTTGCAGCGAAATGGACGGCGTTGCGAGAGGGAGCAGTGGCGCGCCGCCGACTTCCCTCCATGGCAGGACAACAAGCCCAAGGGGGAAAACCCCTGATTCAAGGTCACGAGCGAAATCACATGATCTTCATATCAGCCAATTGACTTGTCCGGTTCGTTCTATGGTGGAGTGCGCGGCCTTCCCTGTTTTGGCCCCCCTTTTCCTGAATGATGAATTGCGGGCCTCGCCTGGTCCTGAGGAGGTCATAGGCGGATGGAAATAGAGTGCCTTTTTGAGTTGCTGCTGTCTCCGTCATTGCCGTCGGGTCCCGACTCCCAGCCAAACTGTGCTCTATTCAATTTCTCTCACTCTTGCATACTGCAGCGCTTACAACTCATTGGCGTCGCCCCTCGAGTTCCCATCTCCCATCCAACGAACGGTCACGACCAATCCTTCTGAATAACACAAACCACCACTAAAACATCCTCTAGCCGCCAAGCCATTCAATCCAAAGAACAAGCTTTTCGTCAGCCAGATCGTCCTCCCATCGGGTCTTTGGGTCCTTGGCTCTGCTAGCTCCCTTGCTGCACAGCAACGCCCCCCTCGTGTCGCCCATGTCCAAATGGCCGCCCTGCCGCGATCTACGCGCCTGGGCATTCCCTTGGCGAGAAATTGCAGAATACTGCGCTGGGACCATCAAATATGCCCTTCCTGCCAGCTATTTGGACCTGGGAGGGGGGTCCCTCCTGGTCAATATTTAACGTACAGAAAAAGTTTGCTCATTGCAAGCTGGCTGACGACTCGTGCTTCGGTCCATGCACGCTTCTAGAATGCTCAATTACCATCTGAGATATGTTTCTCCTGCTGCCCTGCATGCCTACTACGTACAAACCTCGGACGGCGGCAAGCACACGGGGAATGAAGCCGTCATCTGCGCGCACCGACAGCGTGGCTTTGCTGCCGCTAATAAACATCCGATGCTTTTGCAGGCGAAAAGGGGCTGGGCTGGCTACCTCCCCTGGCTGACTGACTTCACCTCATCAAGCTGATCCCTCTCCAGCAACAGCTTGTGCGTTGAATAACCTGGTCTTTCAACAAATGACAATCGGCATGGAACATTTCTTTGCCAAGGCACCAAGCTGAACCAGCTTCGATGAACGCCCAGTAGGGCTGAACCTGTTTATCCCAATCAACTCAAGATCTCCCAGTCGCCAAGACTGAGCTACTACCGAGTATGCGCCTTCCCGTGGATCAAAAGTCTTGGAATCTTGGACGTCCTGTCAATTGTGGCATCCGACTGATGAAGAACCCGACACGGGCCTCTTGACAACGTCAAATCTCTAATTTGGGTCAACCGAAGCCGAGTCTGCACCGCCCCTCCGCACTCCACCACGAATCGGCAGCAGTCTGCCGTCCCCAGAGACCCTTGCTAAAGCTCCCCACGGAGACAATAACTGGAACGAGAGACGACTCTAAAAATCGTTCCCTGCGAACGTAAATTTGGGCCCTATCTCGTGTGCAGAAGGTATTCCTACAAGTCATCGTCTGTATCTGAGATGTGATTGAGATCATTCGCGCCGTCTGCAACTTCGGAGGCAGCAAGGCTCTTGGTGTCAAGACTTGAGAAGAAGACGATCAATAAACCTGCCCTGAGGAGCCCAGCATACGACAAACACACAGCAGGCACTTCGGAGATTTGCGCGAATGACACGCGCTATATGACACAGCACAGACGGAGACTCTACAACCAATTACAAGCCTTGTTGGCTAAGTGGTATAGCGTCTCACTAGTACCTAGTGACATGAGAAGATCGGCGGTTCGATTCCGCCACGAGGCATTTTTTTGGTGTTGATCACGATTTTTGCTTCGTCGACGACGGCAACACGTAGATTGGTGGATTGATCACTTCTAGATAGGTCCCCGAGGTTTGGTGCGGCCAATGGGAGCGAAAGAGCACAGAGACCCATGTGTAGGTATCTGATGAACCGATGAAAACTCCGATATCGATGACATCTATCCTGCTCACCGTGGTTTGGAATGTGAGAAGGATAAATGCCATTACTATCGCTATCTAATACATCACTACACAAGGCAAGTCCAGCTCACAGTCTCATAGTTGCCTTCGAATCCCCTCGAGCATACAGAGAAGATGACGACTCTCAAGCCGCCACGGCCTCACTCGCCTCCGTCTCATCCTCAATCTTCGTCTTGATCAACTCATACAAAATATCCGTCCTCATCGTATACTTGGTCCCCTTGACAACATCGTCGCCAGAGTGATAAAGCCGGCTATGCTGAAAGATGAGCACCCGCCCCGCCTTAGGATCAACATCAACCTTCCTCTTCTCATCCCCCGACAAGAACGATGTCGCGCCACCAACCAAGTCGGCACCGCTGTCCTTACCCGCCTCAGCGACAGAGTCATTGAGGTAAAGATGAACGGTATAATGCGTCCGGAACACAGTCCCATCCTCCGCTTCTTCGCCATACGGTCCATCGCAATGCGCTATATCAATGTCAATAATCCATCATAACAGGGAATAGAGGGGCAAGGAACTGCGATGAACTCACGTCTAAAAAACTGCCCCTTCTGATACTTCAAAAACCTCATCCGCTTGTTAAACCTCTTAAACGCCCACCTCGTTTCAAAACCCTTCTCCGGCCTCCTCACCCCCTCCATCCCAGCCAGCTGCGCTTCCAACCCCGGCGCAAGCCTACACCGGCCCCACAACCGATCGACAACTTCCTGCTGGTCCCAGATAATTCGATCGCTATTCCGGTACTCGGGCTCCAGAATCTCCCACCCGGGACCCATATTGACCATCGCCGGCCGCCACGGCTCGTCCTTGTCCGGGTCCGGACCGCGGTCTGTGGCGGAGGCCTCGGCCATGCGGAGGAGCTGGGCGCATTCGTCCGGGGTGAGGACGTTGTCCAGGACGACGGCATACAAGGGCCCGTTTTCGGGGAGGGCGGTCTTGGACCAGTCTAGTTTTTGGAGGGTTACGGCGGGGGCGGAGGCCGGGAGGGGAACGGAGAGGAAGTCGTGCGGGATGGGGACTTCGTTGGACGTGTAGGATGTTTTTTGGGGTTTAGGAGCGGCGGGTTTGGCGGGTTTGGGCTTGAGGGCCGCGGGGATGAGGTCTGAGATTGGCATTGTGTCGGATTTCTTTTTCGTGGTAGGTGGAAATGTGTTTTGTTTTTGCCAGTAGACCTTTGTAACGCTTTAGGTCGTGTCGTTGTGGTGTTTGATATCGGTGGGTGTTGATGCCTTGTGGTTGTTGTGGTGATTTGTTGTTGTTGGTGCTGTTTGTCGAACGACAATGGCTGCTTGATACAGGGTCGGCCAACTTCTTGAAGACTCGGGAAGCAATAAAAGACACAGGGACCACCTCTTTTCTCTAAAAGACACTTCAAGAGATATTTACAAAAGGACAGAAATGCGACTGCCTAGCAAAGTCGTCAAGGCGCAAGCGTCAGGCTTCGCCTCATAAGTTGGTGACTAACAATGCGGCGGAGTACGGATTGGCCTCAAGTGGACAGACTTAGGGTATGTAAGCACTTGTCCCCGTCAAACCAAAACACACCAGGCTGCTTTGTTTTGGAAAATACGGCCTACAACAGACGTGTCTTCAATCTTCAACAATACTTCCTAGAAAAAGAATGCCTCGACATCTGTCTTGTAGACTCACGAATTGAGACGAAGACTGTTCAAGCGTGGATGCCTGCGATCGGATGTGAGTGCCTAGTGCGGGGTCAATCTCGCAAACCTGATTGGCTCTGTGCGATGTCTTCTGTGCTGTGTACCTTGCTGCCTTGAAGTCTTGAAGCCCCCCGATACTCACTTGACCTGTAAAAGTTATAGTCTGCATGAATATTCTTCTTGGAATTTGATATCATTTCTGTGTCGCTGTGCATTTTCCTTTCCGTCTTGGCTAGTAATGTCTGCTGTTGATGGTGCAGGCTACATAAACTGTGAGCTGTGGCGGGGTGCCTAATTGTGGCTGAACCAGATGAGAAGTGAAGGATTCTCGCAGATGGGCATTACCTATCGAGTACGAGTATTCCTCGTAAGCGTCTTCTTGAAAAATCACATGAATGGGAGAATTGATTACGAGGGACAAATAGAACAATTTGTGAAAGCTACGATAGATGTGTTCTTGTGTAAGGTACCGTTGACTCATCTCAAGGTGAGGTGTCTTGGGTATGCGAAAATGTCCCCCTGGCCATCACTGCTTGACTTACCTCCTCGAGACCTGCCGTTTGCCGGTACCATGAGAACAGACCACGCTTTACATTACTTGTTCTCTCTGAGTTTGATACGTTGTTAACAAGAATCAAGGGGGAACTTGCCTGATGATTCGAAGTGAGATATTTCTAGTGCTATGAGAAGTTACCCCATCTCATATCGGGTGTTCTCTCTCTGAGGGCGATGAAATAATAATTAACATTGCCTGGAAACTTCTATGATTAGATAAAGAAAGTATGGCGAGACCCTGAGGTTATATTACCAATAGGACTGGATGCGGAATGATCATGGAATTCGCTTTCAAGATAAAGTTTCTCTTACACTCTACTTATACACAAACAGAGTCCGAAAAAGCGTATGTTTTCAATATTCATCCATCCTGATATCAGCAACTCATTTCCAAGCTCAGCACTATCAAACCGGCTCATCCCGTTCCTTCGTCCTCCCTGCCCCTTTACTCTCTTCAACCTCGACCCCTTCATCCAACCCAGTCTTCGTCTCAGTATGCATCTCACTCAACTCAACCTGCCTTATGAAAAATGTAGCAATAAACCCGACACCAGACATGACGCAAAAGAAGACCCAAATCTTACTCAACCCATCCGTCACCGCAAGCCTCACAACCCGCCTCTGCCCCTCACTTAAACCCTCCATCGCACCGCGCGCCGCCGTCGCAATCGTCCCTCCCCTCCCAAACTTGGCAGCAACCTCGGCCGGCACGCCCGCCGCCAACAACCGGCCCTCATGCCGTCCCACGACGCTCTGGAATATGACCTGCCCGACGACCACCCCGATCCCCAGCGCAATATGCCTCACAAACGCAAACGTCGCCGTCCCCGTCGCTACATCTGCCTGCCTCACCAGCGCCTGCAATGCAATAAGCAACGCTTGCAAATTCGGAGAGATGCCCAGCGCCGCGAGCACCTGGAACAGGATCAACCGCGGCCAGTCCCGTCCCGCGGGCAACGTCACAAATAACCCAAACGCAATCGCCGTGAGCGCCATCGACACCCGCACAATCTCAACGTACCGCCCCGTCTTCTTGATCGTCACCCCGACGCCGATAGTGCCGACCGCCAACGGCAGCGCCGTGGCGAGAAGCCATACGCCCGACTGGATCGGGCTGGCGCCCAGCACTGCCTGGAAGTAGAGCGGTAAGAAAAACGCAATCGCCGCGAACCCGAGCCCGTGGCAGAAGTTGGCCACGTAGCAGAAGACGACCGACGCGTCGCGGAACAACGAGGCCGGCATGAGCGGGTACTTTGCGAAACGCTCGACGAAAGCAAAGACGGAGTAGGTCGCGCAGCCGAAGACGATGAGACATATGACGGTGGGCGAGTCCCAGGGGTTCCGCAGCCCGCCAAACTGCAGTCCGAGGAGGAGCATCAACGTCGCTCCGGTGAAGGTGAGTGTGCCTAGCCAGTCAATGGCCGCCAGGCCCTTGAGAAGCGGCGTCTTGGGCGTGTGTATGCGCAAAAAGAAGACGAGGATGAGCAGCGACGCGCCAGAGATGGGCAGGTTAATCCAAAAGCACCACCGCCACGAAACATTCTCCGTCAGCCCGCCGCCGATGAGCGGTCCGATCCCGCTGGCGAGACCCCAAACCGCACCGACGGCGCCGAAATACGCGCCCCTCTCCCGCGGGCTGAAGAGGTCCCCGACGGTGATGTTGACCAGCGCCATCAGCCCGCCGCCCCCGAGCCCCTGGACCGCTCTCCCCGCAACAAGCATCGTCAGCGTGCCGGAGAGCGCCGAGGCGAGGCTGCCGACCATGAAGACGACGTTGGCGATGACGAGGATCGGTTTGCGTCCGAAAATGTCGCTAACTTTGCCCCAGAAGGGGACTGAGGCGGCGTTGGAGAGCAGATAGCTCGCGCCGATCCAGGCGAATCCCGAGTCTGAGGACCCAATCTCCCGCGCGATCGTTGGTAGTGCGGTGGTGATGATGACGGCGTCGAGGGCCGCGAGGAAGACGGCCATGCAGAGCGCGAACATTAGGATGACGGTCTGGGCCCGGGTGCGGACCGGGGCGATCTTTGTGTCTGCCGTCGTGACGCTCCCTTCCCCTTGGTCATCTTCGGCGCTCCTTCTTTTCTCCCGTACGCTTCCTCCTACTTTACCATCTTGATCGCCGTCGTCGCGCGGACTCCTGTCGTGAGAAGATCTTTCTACTTCACTCGCCATCGTGAACAGCGAGATACCTTGTTTGGTCGGGTACACGACATGCTGCCCTCAGCGAGCACCGCTTCCACAACCCACAACGCGGGACGGGCCTTAATATACATTCTTCGAGATCCTCAGAGAAACAGTGATGGAACACCCTAAAGATGCCTTGGTTGTCGTTGATTTGCTAGAATGTCCCAGTGGCTCTGCGGCACAGCCTTATGGCCCGCGCCGCTGCCATTCACGAGAGCACATGTTCCTCGACATGAATAGGACCATGGCTTTTCCCAGCGCGCCGGACTTTTGGCTGCTTCGGTACGACCCACATTGCCGCAATGCGAGGGCATTCGACGCAGGGTGGTAGACTGAGAGAGAGGCCGTTGGAGCAAGATGTGGCTGCACGGCGTATGCGCGGGAGCCACACTCCCCATCCTCCCTTGCCTTATCCTTCACCTCTGCAATTAGAAGAAAAAGTTCCGGATCTTTCGTCCTGGTTGGTGGCTTTACGAGAGCGACACGTGGGGGCCATTTCCACAATGCCTCTCATTCGCTCGGGCATCGCCAAGTCTTTACGTTTCCCATGAGAACCACCCCAAGAATGACGCGCAGCGAATAACAAGACAGTCGGCGCCACATCCGGAAAGTACCAAAGGGGAAAGAGAGTAGAGGGTATCAAGCTTAAGATTAGCAAAACGTACAGCCGTACAGCGAATTTGCCCGTCCCGTGGGTTGGATCTGCAAAGAAAAGAGAAGGAGAGACACAAAAAACCCCTGCCATGTCGGGCCGGACTTACGCCTCTTCGTTTTCGTGGGCTGATGCCGAGCGAATGAGAGAATTCCAACGTCAGCTTCGCATCAGCTCCCAATACTACTTGGATTGCTCCAACGGATGAGAGGGTGGGTTCCAAACAAAGGAGAAAGAACATTTCTCGCCCGGCCAGCCCATTCACTCATACTTTCCAGCGCAACGTTGAACGAGGCAGGGGCGAAGCGCCCAATCCGATCGCGTAACCGGACACGGCGTGAGCACTATATAGGCAGAATGCAAGGAACGGCGCGAAGCGCGAAAGCGGGAATAAGAAGGGGAGACAATGGCGAAGGGGCTTGCGAGAGGCTGAGCATCGTTTCCCGGCTCTCCGTACGTACGGAATGACAACTGCGTTTCTGATAGGCACGATTATGCGGATTGCCGACTACAGAAGTTCAGACCGACGAGAGGTGACGAGTGCGTGTGTCTTTCAAATCTTCGTTGCAGACGACCAACTTCGCCTTGCGTAACGGTTCTTGCAGGATGCAGATGCAGTTCGTCGCCATCATCGTCCGGGAAACCTGTGCTCCGGGGAGCGTATGGGATGCGATCAACGCTGTGGCGGGCGGGAACTCGTCTATTTTGTCTTCATCGAGCGTGCCTCCCTGAGAGTTGATTCTCTGCTGAGCACGCACGGCTCAATTTACATGAATCTCGTATTCATGCCCTCAACTCGCCTGTTGCGACATCCCAAACGTTGACACGCGCGCGCCATGTGGTGACTCGTGATGCTCGGTGATGTGGGTTACACATGTTGTCAAACCGCGTGCGAGCCTCGTGGGCCTCTCTGTCCTACATTCCTGATTGAGAGCTTGACGGAACGGGCCATCAGTGGAAACTTGCATCGTCGGCCTCGGAGACCGGGTCAGAGGGAAATGAGACTCAATTCTGTCCTATGAAAGAATGACCAGCCGTCATTATTCCCTCCATCCTGCAA